TGATAAGTTTCGTTCGGTGCGGACGCGCGAAATATTTTTATCGCCACGAAAGCTATTTCGCGCCGCATCCGGCGGCGCATTTTCCGGTACCACTCTTCCCCAGGCTCGTTAGTTTTTCCCCGTGTTGCGCGTCGCGTCGCCATTCGTCAGCTTCCGCTCGGCGTATATTTTCAAACGCGCGGTCTCGTACATTTTCCCTGATTTCGTAACGCTGCGACGTATAACGGGATGACGCAATCCTGTACAAGCGCGCCCGCATGTGAGAGATGTGCTCCTCTCTCTCTCTCTCTCTCTCTCTCTCTCTTTTCTCTCTTTCGGGCGTGTAAAAAAAAAAAAAGCCACACGAACGAACGCATACACGCACATACAACATAGTCCTCTATTGCACGTAGCGTACTCGCAATAACGTCGTGACCATACGCCTCGAACACGTGTGGTTGTATAAATAAGCTTTATGACGTCATCCTGAAGCCGCACGATTCTGCTGTTGCGTTCCTTCCCTCGATCTCCCCTCTCCCTCGTTCTTTTTGAGCACTAAATTGCGTCGTTTGCTCCGGATTCTTCAGGCTCGAAGATTATAGCGGGGAATGTATAATAAAAGGTGTGAGATTTTCAATGAAATGTGGGTTAAAGAATAGGACTTGAAATAAAGTAGGTATAAATCACGTGGTGATGTGAATCAGACTTTGAAATGTGCGAACTTTAATTGAGATTCTTCGTGGCTTCTCTATATAAGTACGATGTGTTATGACATAGAATTGTTGAATTTATTAAATATTTAGTCACATGTAAAACCTACAAGCGCAAAAATACTAATAGACATTATTTATATCAAAAATAAAAGAAATTAATGGGGGAAACTCTTGATATAAACATTCATCAACAAATTATCGTAAAATTGCGCGGAGTTTAATCTATTAACTTTTTTGTTCGTGCAATTAATATTAAATTTTATCCCCTATTTAAATTGTAGCTTAATCGTCAAAATATTTAATGTTAAAGACTTGATAAGACAAATAAGCGTTAGGCGTGACCGCTAATTATGTGACTCATTAAAAACCAAGCTTATGTACATTAGATAAGATTAGCAGTGGAGGAAAGTTTATTTGTTCGCGATATACGTTGTAGAATCTGTTCTGGCGTGCTCGTTCTATTGCAGCGGCGCAATAGATAATCGGTCAGAATAGAGTCTTACGTAACGAGAAAACAGATGGTCCGATGAAAAACGCGGGTCACTCGCGCAAGGAAACGCTCTAGAAATCGTGCCGTAGGATTAAAATGCACAGGCCATGCTACCTACACATGGCAATGTATAAATCTATAACGTAAATAACCATAACTGCTAATGCAAACAACTTTACGGCCGTCTCGTGCAATCCGCTCGAGCAATTCAGACGATTAATACTTGGCATCGAACTCTCGTGATCGCGACGTTGCCTTCGGAATTTCCATCTAGGCTCGTGGATTCCGCGGAATTGCCGTAAGGCACTTTAACTGACGGCGACAGTTGAAATGGATTTCAGAATTTCCCACTTCCCGAGTAGATTTCCCAAAATTGCCTATAAAGAACGCGAATCCTTAGGAAATATGTCCTTGCAACGGAATTCTGAAATCCATTTATCCTTTACTACCCCTTATATTTTGTAATAGAATTGGCTAATGAAATGATCCGAATAAAATGTCAATTTTTGAATAATATTTTATATAAGTTGCTATTTTGAACAAATATATATTTTTGGTACTGTTAATTTATAACATTCATTTAAGGGAAGGGATTTATTATATAATCATCTACGATATAGTTATATCATTTTAATTAACAGTAAACGATTGCGTACAAAATTGCGGGCAATTAAAAGAAGGCTGAGATCACTTTGCGACAACGCGCGACACGCGTAATGAGACGTATTACTCCGAGAATTACTCCGAGAATTACTCCGAGTGGACTTGGTCGAAAAAGAAACCGTTCCGCGCAATTATCCACGCAATTTATTCGCGACGGCATTTCGCGTCGCTTAACATAAGAATGTTGAGCGAGTATGCGAGCTTGCCGCCCCTTTTCTTTTTCACGGGGAAAAACGAGCGGCTATGAAAAGTTTAAGGGGTACACATGTTGATGGCGAGGAGGAGGAAAAGGAAGGGGGGGAAAGAAGGTAGCGGCAACTTTTTGGCTCAAATCCGCGATAAGTATGCGCGAAATGTATGAAAGAGATTTCGTGCATGTGTGGAGCAGCGAAATCGTTTGTGAAAACTCGCGAGAGCACGCTTTAAGTACCACAGTAGCAGTCCTAGAATTTTTGGTATCCCCTTTATAAATTCACCATATGCGAGCCATGCTGTACATAAAGCCCTTCTCCCTGATTAATATTAATCCTGAAAGGATTTTTCTATCTGTAGATTGATATGCAAAACTATATGCAAATTTAGCAATTTTTGTTTTTTTACACACATAACGTGAGCGACATACCAGATATTTTTAAGTTTAAAACTAAATTAAATTCGCGTTTCTCGAAATTAAACTGGTTCCTTTATTAATATATCGATAATAGTTATTGCATATATCTTTGTAATTATCAATCTAAAGATATATTCCTGCAATTGATTACGTTGATCTCGTCAAGAAGATAGAAAGTACCGGGTTGAATAGACACGCGAGGGGTTTGAAAGCAAAACGACGATGACGTTTAGAGCGTTAGAGATGATGGAGACTGTGTAAATGACTTGGAACCAAAGAAAGGCGGCGGTGACCAAGTATCTCTTTCGTAAGAGAAAAGGAGAGAGAAAGAGAGAGAGAGAGTAAAAGACTCATCGCGACACAATAAGAAAGAGGATTGGGAACCGACGAAAGGGAACGACGATAGTTAAAGAACAGGCAGGACGCGGGGATGTACTGTACAAAATGCGACATTACCGGAGACAAGCGATCATTAAGGCCACCCCGTGGCTAAACAAAAGGATCATTGAGAGACTTAAGCGAGGCTGCAGGCAGTTTGGAAACTAGTCGCTCGAATTGTACATCGCCACTTTCGCAAATTTTCTCCTTTTCTCTCTCTCGTTGGCTATTCTCTTTCACCATCGTATACCTTTGCACTTCCTCGTGTCGGTGCACTTTGACCTCTGGACAACGGGAACATCTCCCACGGGTACCGTGCGCGAGTTTCCATTTTGATTTCGTGGTTCAATCGATCCCTCGTTTGAGTCTTAACAACGTACGAGCGTTGAATTTTCGCTCAAAGACAAAGAAACATGGTAAACAGCATTTTTTGTATTAATATCTTTTATAAAAAAATATAATAAACTTTTTATTGTATATATATATATGACATTTCTCAAAAATATTCTCTTAAATTTTTTCTCTTCAATGAATATTTTCGCCATTTAATATAGAATTTGAAACTAAGTGAAATAGTGTTAATTAATTAAAGAAGAAAAATTGAGACTAAAAGCTCTCTTGTTTACCTCATCTAATTAAATGTTTTCGAAGAAAAAATATACATAATTTGAAATCGCGAAAACTTTCAACGTTGTATCTTGCAAAACGAAAAAAATTTGTAATACAATGCTTCGCGTGATACACTATGCGCATCATGACGTAGATCTTCATACATTATCCGTTGCGCTTCGCTATCAGGTTCAATTGCACCGCATGCATACTGATTGACCTGATATTATCGATTCTCATATATCGGAGGAGACGGAGACTCATAACTCGCGCTTGCTTTTCATGGAGTTCGACATGACGGCGTTTCTCCACCGGGAGGGGGAGGGGGAGGGTTGAGGGAAAGGAAAAGGGAAGGGTAATCTCATTTCTTACCTACAACGCGACAGCCAAACGTCGTTAACGTATATATCGTCATTGAAATCGGATTACATGTGCACCGCCGCCGTTCATGTGTGGGTGCAAAAAGCAGGAAAGGGTAAAGAAATAGGAAGTCCCCTGTCGGACGCGTAATTCCTCTTCTCTCTCTCTCCTTCCCTTTCTCTGAATTTTTTTTTACACAGACTTGATCACGCGGTTCGAGGTTTCAATCCCGGGGAATTCATTTTCTCGACCGATCGGTCGGCCGGTACAAGGGTGAATTTACGAGGATGCGGCGGTCTCTAGGTTGATTCTAATCCGCTATTTACCTTTTTGCAAATCCCGATTTGATGCTACTTTCGAAATTAGAATTTTATCACGGACAGGTGTGGGCCCATATTTTTATTATCAACCGCGCGCACATCATCAAACCTCATGTGATTAAATCGAAGCAAAACGTTCTGAATACGGTGAATTATCGTAGCGAGAAATTTGATACTTAAAAAAAAAATTCAGGTTACCCTCTTGTACAGCCAAGAGAAACGCACGAATTGATTTTAAATAAATAAATATAATAGTAACTTGGTCTTTTTTTCCTTGCATAATTTGCGCCGTTAATTTCAATGAAAGATCGACAAATTGCAAGCTATCGGGTCCCCCATGAGAATCATGTGAATAATTATTTTTGCGTTATTTGCGCATTTGTCCGCGCGGTTAGGTGTCTCATGGCGACCGTAACCGAATTTACATAGGGTGCACCGCGACGCATCGAAACCGTTATCGACTAAATAAACTGGAAAATGGTCCCTGGCTCGTGGAAAATGAACCTTGTCGCCCGATGGAGCCGGATTTAATTGAATATATCGAGTTAATTAAGTATCTGCATTTTCATCAATATTAATATCATTTACATAAATCAAGTAATAACGGTAACGTGGGATGTCGCGCGTACCGCTTTATCATAGGAACGATTACTCAAGTCGCGCAGCAATTAATTATCTTTATAGGTATCGACACGCGAATATCTTAGGTATTAGATAAATTGCGCAGAGGGACGTACGCCACTTATAATTGTATTTTACTCGAACATAAATGTAGATTAAATCGATTTAATCAAGAGAGAATATTTTTAGATTTTCGTGAATTCAGCATTTAAATATAAAATTACTGATAACATCTAATTATTTTGTACATTTCTTACCTTATTATAAACACCTTGATCACTGATTGTGTCATATATATATCATCCTTGTTATATGCAAGCCGCTTTTTTATTTCATTGTCTGAAACAGAGAAAAGAATACGTTGTTAATTGAAATAAATTAAATTAAATTAAAATTGAATAACTTAGAACAAAAATTTTTTACTTGCATAATCGAGAAATTATAACAATCTTCTGCAAGAATTTTAGTAAACTGCAGTCTTTCTCCAAACTTAGTGTAATCTCTTTTTATCTAAAATATTTTTCTACAAAACATATTTTAAAATTTATCACGGATCATAATATTTTCCGACACATTCTGTACAGTTGCATGAGAACAGTTATAAAATCATTAAGGGAACAATATCACTTCTTTAATAAATGTTATAAATCACTAGGGAATGACAATCATCAATTATCATTAAAAAGTGCTGCGGTGTCGCGACTGTTCCTCTGATTGACCCTATTAAATATTAGACCCCCGCAGAGCGGCAAGATCTATGTCAAGTCTTTCTCATCTGTTAGAGCGACACGACGTATAGACACACAGCCGCATTCCGACGAATCATTGTCGTAACCATCATCGTGCAATCATCATCGTACAGTCATCATCATCGTACGATGCATTCGGGAAAGAATATCTCTCCTCCCACGCGCGGAGCGTACACGTATACATGTGCCTATGCACGCACATTTGTACGCCTGGTGTTGTGTCCGGCTCGACAGAGGGAATCGACAATTTGACGGATCGATAACCGTTCAACATGCCGGTCTCTCTCTCTCTCTCTCTCTCTTGCTGCATGTACATTCCCGCGGGATTGCTCGAAGGCGTGAAGGCACAGCCATTATTTATGAGAGCCGTAAATCACGATCGATCGATCTGTCAGATCGATCGCGTTCGCTCGCTCGCACACTCGTTCGCACGCGCTCCAACGTCGTTCCCATCGTTCGAGGAAACACTTTGACGAGAGATACCCACGTATATGATGCAACTATCACGGCTATCGCTGTGACACTAGTGGAATTATACTGGCCAAACACAATATCGCGCGTGCGACATATCCGCATACATCTATTGTACGCGTATATACATTGCGTTCTGTTAGAGCGACACGACGTATAGACACACAGCCGCATTCCGACGAATCATCGTCGTAACCATCATCGTGCAATCATCATCGTACAGTCATCATCGTACGATGCATTCGGGAAAGAATATCTCTCCTCCCACGCGCGGAGCGTACACGTATACATGTGCCTATGCACGCACATTTGTACGCCTGGTGTTGTGTCCGGCTCGACAGAGGGAATCGACAATTTGACGGATCGATAACCGTTCAACATGCCGGTCTCTCTCTCTCTCTCTCTCTCTTGCTGCATGTACATTCCCGCGGGATTGCTCGAAGGCGTGAAGGCACAGCCATTATTTATGAGAGCCGTAAATCACGATCGATCGATCTGTCAGATCGATCGCGTTCGCTCGCTCGCACACTCGTTCGCACGCGCTCCAACGTCGTTCCCATCGTTCGAGGAAACACTTTGACGAGAGATACCCACGTATATGATGCAACTATCACGGCTATCGCTGTGACACTAGTGGAATTATACTGGCCAAACACAATATCGCGCGTGCGACATATCCGCATACATCTATTGTACGCGTATATACATTGCGTATATTTGCGTCCCCGCGACGACGTGGTCGAAGTATTATTCTTCGTCGACCGCATTATGTTGCTCATTCGTCGCTATTTACAGCACTTTATTACTCTTTATTCGGAGAAATAGAAATATTAAAGAGCGCGTAAAGTTGCGTCATAACTATAGAACGATGACATGTATATATAAAAAAATAGAGTTCCAAGAAATTTATATATTAAATATCTCCTATTTATTTTGACAGAAAGACAAAATTTTCTTTTCATATTCGCTGCTTAATTGACTTTCTCGTCTCTCGCTTGCATTTCAACCGTTTATTATTCACAGTTTATCAAGCTAAAGCTCTTTCTTGTACAAGATGGCTCAAATTCCATAACATAGACAGCGCTGCGACGAGCAAGACATAGAATTCCTGATTAATAGATGCTACGGTGCCAACGATTTACGATGATTATGCCCCCAATGACACCGCGGAAATATAGTTAATTGCTTAACAGGTGTCGTTTACTGCTTAACATGCCTTCGAAACAATCAGCGCTTTCGCCGGATCGATAAAGCAGTAATTAACCGTAATATGCACGTTTCATCCAGATTAACAGTAGAATCATTGTAAAGACACATTCAATAGGCCGATTGAAATCGAGTAAAAAGTTTTGGAATAATGAATCTTTTCGTGTCACTTGTCGCGTGAAGCTATAAAAAGAAGCTTTTCCGCACAGTAACTTGTGAGGATGATGATCATTATAACGCTTCAAGCTTCCGTGCGAATAATGGTACACTGGCACATAGTCACGTTTTTCTTACCTTGATTCGAACCGAGATAATGCTGTGAGTTTCAAATATCACTGGAAATTTCATATATTTGTACGCAGGCATTAACGGCAATTTATATTGCATTTAATTGGCAAAGAAAGGCTTCTTTTTCTCACATTTCCGTTTCTTCCGCACATATTTTAAATTATAATATTTTATAATAATTACTTTACATGTTAGACATCAGAGAGATCGATGTGTAATTAAAAAAAAAAAAATTATTTAATTTCAAATAGATTTTTTATTCCGAGATGTAGAAAAGATAGCTCGAAATATATCTAAACCTGCGTGTGTTAGAGAAAATGAGAGAAGTTATGTCATTGAATTCAATTTTATCCGAATAATTGCAAAGTAATGTAATGTTATTTTCGAATTAGCCCGTATCAAACTCTGTAAGCCGCGAGTGTCACACTCGAATAAATAAGCAAACTTAAAAAGCGCTTATTGACAAATTACATGATGACACATCAGTTTGAAGGAATTTTACCCGGGATTTGACCTAGATTCGCGTCGGCAGCTACAGACTATGGAAATCGTAGTCTAACAAGCTTGTTAGCTTTGCCGGAAGGGATACTCCGCCGGGCGATTCGTTGCACGTTCGCAAATTGCGAATAACAATAGTCGATTAACAAAGGCAGACTACAGAAATCAAATTATATGTTATAATTGAGATAAGTAATAAAATTTTGATAGAGTCGAGGGAAGAACATTTTTTAATAGCGCCGTGTAATTATCACAGTAAATATAAACGTAGAAAATATATTCGTGCAAAATATATAATCAGAGATAAATCAGAAATACAATAATTAATAAATTATTTTGTGAGAATTGTATGTGAGCACTCTTCATCACAAATAAATATTCTTTAAACAATACGCTCTCTTTCTTACATCAATTTTCATTTTGTTGAAAAATTTGCCATTCAATAACGTATAAGATACAACAAATAAATAACTGCTGAAAGATATCTTATATCACTAGATACTTGTTATATATCAAAATGTAAAGAATAAAGAGAAATATTAAAGGCCTGTATTCGATTCTCCAGACCACATCCACTTTGTGGATCTTAATAATCCTTTTAAGAGGAACCGTATTTCTCATTTGATAGCGTTCGACCTTTCCGTTGCGCATATTCCAACGGTCCCATTATTTAATGCCGCCCGCACCTGCTTGCAACAGGTGATGGGGGCCCGCGATCTCTCGGGCCCGTTGTATACCGGGGCACGTGCTCTTGATGGAGAAACGTGTCGCGTATCGCGGAGGGCAATCGACTTGCCATTAAAAAAAAAGAACGAGGAAAAATTGTTCGTGCCGATGCGTGCTTCTCTCTTTATAGCGTATTCGGATCGAGAGATTCCGCGGTAAAAGACCATTTAAACTGACGTGTCGTACGTCAACTTGTATCCGGATGAAACGAGAAATCGCATAATACACGTAACGTATCGTCTCACGTGATCGCGTCGTTTATACGCGAACAAGTTGTTGCGTGTCATTTAACTATCTTGAGATTTTTTAATATACGATATATGAAAGATAATGTTTATATAATAAAACATGAATGAAAAAAAATCAATTATTCGAAATATATTAGAATAAATAAAATCGATATCTGTGCGATTAATTAATGCGTTTAATTAATGATCCATGTTAATGTCGTATAAATTCATATCACGGCGGACGTTTTAGAGATCCCGATAATATTAAGCTTAGAAATAGTCGTATCGTCCGTTTGAGACAACGTGCATGAAGCCAGACGGTATTTTTCTTTTTTCAATAACAGTCTAGAATTACATGACACAATCGTTGCGTCCTTGTATGTAACACCCACGCTGCATTATATTATAAAACTCTTCGTATTGCGTCGTGCTACTGTTCCATTTTTGATCATCGATTGTGAAGAATTTATTTTTACAAAGATTTTATGAAATGGAGAAAACATTGAAATTTCTTGATTCTGAAATATACGTATATGTGCAGAAGCTTGAATGTATTTAACTCTATGAATTTAATTTAGAACTAATATATATAAAGTAATATTATCGGTTATAAAAAAGTATGTATGAATTTTCAATATTTCTCCTATATTATTACATTGTCACTTTGTTAAATAACAGCTTAAATGCATATCGAATAAATAGTTATATTGATTCGGCACATTGCGCTTGAAAATTATCGGAGTGTACACAGTGTATTTCGTAATTGGTGATTACAATCGGGAAAATAATGATTCTATATGAAAAGAATACATCGAAAATACGTAGAATAAATTTTTTTCATACAAGACTTTGTTTTCGATCAAATCAAATTTAAAAACTGGAAAATTGATAACATACGCTTTTTTAAGTTTTAATAACTGTAACAATCGTGTATTATACGTTATCAAATTTATCTCGACAGTGATCATTAAAAAAATATATATAAAAAATACAATATTTTTTCTATTGAAAATAAAATTTAGATGCTTCATGTACACTTTCGTCTCTTTCTCTTCAATATAACAAATTATTTTGAATTATTGTATTAAAAACGTTGTACTTTTATATTTATCTATTAATAGTCGTCAAGATGAATTTGATAATACATAGCATAAAGTTATTCAATCTTAAA